CCACACAATACAGGAAGTATCAGAGATTTCCAGGACAGAAGATAGGGCATAATACGCGGACAGATCTCATCAGGGTATGAGTATATATATTACGCTGAAAGATCACCCAAATGGAATACGCGTTCACATACCTTGAACCTCCTCGGGAGTGAACGAAGCAGTTTGACTTTGATAGCCAACCCGATCAATGTGGCCATGCTACAACCGGGAATGGTCGGCGTGTACCGGACTGTGACACGGCCATTCTCGTCGTCCACTTCCACACCCTCTTCGGATACCACACCTAGCACTTCCAGACTGTGTGGATGTTCTGGATCCCGAATGTCTCGAATGTGTTCTTGAACGAGTCGTGTAAGAGAAGAGCGGTAGTGCGTAGAAATGGAGAATGTAAAGAAATAGGAAAAGTGCGCCGGTCGACAGATGATGATGGGTTTTGAACAGCAACAGACGTGAACTCGGAGCGCAAAGATATTTGATCAATCAAAAGAAGTAAGGTTTTGGATAAGCGGGAGATGGGATCATCACGAACAAACAGATATGAGCACACTATCCACCTTAATCGAACACGTAACACAATATAAACACTGACCCGATTGTCTAGGTATCACGCTAGCTATCATGCTGGTCTTTCACAAGTTTAATTTGCTTGCCTAGTAAGACACTGGTTGCATAGAAAGGTTTTTTCAAGGTGAACAAAGCACGCAAATTCCTGGTCTGGTGCCTGTAGAAAAATTATTGCTTTGATCACGAAATCCGCTATAATGGCACCGATTTCATCACAGTGCCTAATTGAGTTTCCTTTACTCACAGCGAAAACTTACGTTCACAAACGATCCCGTCGTGAGCTACACACGCCCCTTTCGCTCGACAACAGCACCTGTGACATCCAAAAAGCCATCCCCGTATTTGATAGCACACGGCTTAACGTAAGTTTCAACTGATTTGCCTTCTCCACAAATTCCCGGCAAAAGCTACTTCCATCTCTCAACTATCAATCCGTTGAAAACTACTTTATTGATCTGAATACCAAACTTCATAAAATTCCAGTTATGTGCCTCCAGACCAAACTATGTTGTTTTTCGATGCTAACCTCGCTCCGTAACAAAAGTCAGTCATGATTTTACTGAATATTCCCAGCGTTTATCGACCGTGTCTGGCACCAATAATCTGGGATTGGAACGTTCCCGTTCGCGCTTCTAAGCCCCGTTGGCAGGTGGTAAACGCTCGCACGATAGAGAGAGACAATAATGAACATACACGAGCAGTAAAAGGTCCACGGTAGGACAACTCAGTTCACAAACTCACCAAATACTTCCCCACTGTCAATCGGTTGACGAGATCCGTCCCAATCGTCCAATTTTAGCCGGTGAATGGGAGCTATACGCGGACGCACTGGGAATAGAATTGGATTCACATTTTCTAGCATTCTCCCGTTCTGTTGGCTCCCGTCTGGAAACAGACAGGCGTTGAATTCAAATCAGAATGGTTAACAATCAATATTTCTACTATTTGGCACCTGGTCAGTAGTCAGTGTCTGCGAGCAACGCTGAAAAAATGGAAACAAACAAGGACCGAAAACGCACAAGGTGATGATGACCGTCGAGGGGTAAGGGTAAGGGTTTGAAGTCCCAACTCGAAGGTTCGCGGTTCGAGTCTTGATAGGGACACAAAAGGTACGCACTGCTGACGAGTCCCCTAAAATAGGACGAAACAGTAGTCCACTGCTCTTTGTCGGTTATCACAAACATTTCCATCGCAGTTAGCCGAAAACGTCACCCATAACTTTTCCACTATAAATTAATATAAATCGCCGATTAAATAAGACCTTAAAACTAACTTACTGTTTCGTTGAATTAAAACACCGAGAAGCCGATATTCCAAGTTTAGATCAGATTGAAGAGCCGTAAACCACTAGGAAATACGGAAAAAACTTAGCATCTTATTAAAGCCTAGCGGTAACAAGAGGTCCCATACACTGAAAATCAGCCTTCAATGGACCAACCGAACATGGTTTACATATACTGCACTCTCAGTCTTCGGTCTGGACGTTTCCAACTTAAGTTCGAAGTGATATTTTATGCATGATTTGCATATCTACGTAGTTATGGCTCATATCACACTCAAAACAGATCCGATTCGATATCTGGGTGAAATATCATAAATAGCAATTCAAAACGCTAGAAAACGAAACCTTTTTGCAGTGTTCTTTTTGGGGAACGACGCATTGATTACGGATCAGACGACCTTTTGCACAATATTGAGTAAAGATGGCAATATAGGGTAGTGAATAACATTGTCATGAAGCAAAAAATCGGTAACCAAAAAGCCTAGGTACCGCGCTTGAATCGGAGTAATTTGCGCTTACTGGCATCAGCTTAAACCGAGACATTCACGAGTTCAACCCCGCCACTATCACTGCTCAATTTGGTGGTAGTCGGCTTTGTTGTCACCCAGGTCATGCCGATATCCACCTTACAGGGGTCTCATATGATTCACTAATCCATAGCTTCTTATCACACATAATATGAATTATAGTAAAAGAGGAAAACTCAATAATCAAAGCGCAATATGTAAAACGGAGAGTAGGAAGGTATCCACGCAGGATTCAGCTTCTTGGGTCTGTGTTTAAAAGTTGTAAGTTGCGGGAAAGACAAAGAGTGGGTGTTCCATAACTTGGCGGTTCTCGGGGAAAGAAGATTGAAGTTGAGAAGTATCATGTCTGGTGACGGAAATCTGATAAGTGCGACCGAATGCCTTTGTGTGGGATAAGCAAGTGAAAGTTAGAGGATGAGGCACTGCAGAGACAAGCTCCAAAGAACAAAACCCAGTGGTGGTAACGGTAGAGCATGGTCAGTGAAGCAAATGCCCGACGATGGGTTAGTGACCGCAGACTGCATGTTAGGGGGTGGGGGGGGAGGGGGAATCATCGAACATATTGAGCAACTTTTCCGCATCTCAATTGTGTGGGACAGCAAAGACAAATACTTCGAGTCAACGGGTGCGACCTGGATGAAGTATGAAACCATCTTCCCGACTGAAGTTCGACGAATCCCGCATAATTCAACTGTGATCGATGTGGCTAGTCACAAAACGACAAGGAAAAAAAATACTCATTGCAAAATCAAAATGTGTTAATTTCTCTTTACTGTTCTAGTTTTAGAGAGAGAGAATAGTGGAATATTGATTCCATTTGATGCTATATAAAGTGTGAAATGAAAAGTTGGGAAGCACTGGGCAGCTGTTTCTAACCGATTGGATCTCATCAGCAGTGCGAGTCCGTGGACCCAACTGGGGAACGAAACAGGCACAACACAGGTAGAACGCAGGCAGATAACTCATTTAGCCTGCGGACAGTTGATCAGTTTTTTCATTGTATCCATACATAAAAAAGCAAAACCCATTTGCTCTTTACACAACACCTCCAAAAGCGTCGGTATGGTCAGGGGGGCGGGGTTCGATTACGTACTCTGCGTTGACCATAGTGGCTCATCTTTTTATCCATCCCTGTCCACCTTAAATTTTACCACTAACCTTGTATGC